TGTTAATCAATTAAGAACTGCTTAGAAAATGATATGCAAACTAAATAAAATAAGGCATAGGAAGGCATGCGTAAGGGAGTGGTTCCTGAGAGGTTTCTTCAGCTTGCTGTCTGTGGATAAGATGCCATCCTGCTTCAGCAAGGCCTTATCAAGATAAGCCAGTAAGTGGCTACTTTGATTTTAGCAATAAAAGATATTATCTGTGTTTCTTGATTTCTTTTAAATTAACATGCAACTTTCTGGAGTAATGTTGCAGGTTTCATAAACAAACCCAGCAAAGGTAACAAATGTTAATTGGGCCTACTAACCTCAATTTAATATGATAATCAATATCTTTTGTTTTTTCCCTTCCTGTGTTGCCGACTGTGTTGTTTCTTTCCTATTCCCCTTCTCAGTGCATTAATGCTTCAGTTATTCCATTGATTTAATTTTTCCTAGGGAAGAAAGCCTCTTACCGGCCTGTTATGCATCCCTCCACATCTCTGGCCTTTGGTGCTACCCAAATGAATAAAACTGGAGCACCTTGTCCTAGAGCTCTCACTGTCCAAGACTGTTACAAAAAAGAAGTGGATGAACAAACTGACTGTGCTGTCAATAAGGAAATAAAAAAGACAGCTGTGATCTGGAGTCTCAGGCCAGTTTCAGTCTCTTCGTCTGCAGATATTCTCCTAGTATTATCACTGAGAGTCTACTTGCTAATAAAGGTTCAAGCCTGCACACCATCCTCATCTTCTCTGAGGTATCTGTTGCCCTTGACACTGCTATTAATGCTTGTCCTTTGATACCTTGTCGCATTAGACATCATGACTATTCTACGCTCTTTTTTTCTCAGTCTAGACTTTCCCTCAAGCACCTCTCCCCAAAGCTTTCCCTCCCATCTCAAAGTGTAGCCCCCTCAAAACTTCCTGGCGCCCCTTCCGCTCCACCCTCAGTTCTTTGTCCTTGGGTGACCTCTTCTGCTGATGTGGAAGTAATTATTACCTCTATGCTAACCACCTTTAAAATACTTATCTACTACTGATCTTCCGCACATCGGTTTCGCATCTCACTGCCTCCGTAGTGCTACATCCTGACAGACAGCTTGCTGCCAAGCTCACTGAGATCCAGAAAAGGAACTCATTAAAAAACAAACCCAACAACACAGCTTTCCCTAGCGCTCTGGCCAGCAGCCAGCGTGTGTGTCAATTTTAATGTCTTTGATATTTAAATTTAGCCCTCTCTTACTGCTGATACCATTTGGCAGAAGGTGTACTTACAATATTATTCCCAAAGCTATTCACCAGACATCTCTTTGCTACATTCAAACCTTCCCAGGAATTCACTTCTGTGAATAAAAAAATGTAGGGATGAGCTGTTCTAATGGTCTAAAGGGATGATTTTCTTGTTTTCACTCTCTTCTTTCTGCTTTTAGTATCTTTATATGCCGTATCAAATCTTCCCTTCTAGCTGAGGACTGTCTTTAATGGTTCATGACATATCTTCAAGTTTCTTGGGAAATTAATGTGTCTTTTTATGGTTCTTTCACAGAATTACAAGGAAGAAAAAAAGTATTTTAGTGACAGGGCAGTGTGATTATACAGCTGCAATGCTGAAATGTGGTATCAGAGGCAGATGTATTACCTGCCTGAGAATGTTGTGCTTCTGGGTCCCAGATTTGACGCTAGTTGTGCAAGGCAGTGCAGATTGGACTAAAGCTTTTCACATGCTGAATGTCTTGGTTTAAGAAGAGAAAAATCTTAAGTTACCTGACAGACTCAATAAGATTCTTTCAATTATTTTAGGGTTTTTTTTTAGGAAACTTCAACTCTTCAGAGTTGTGCAAGTATTATCTTCATGTATTTCTTAACTTACGTATTCTTCATTCAGGTTCCTAATTTCTCTTTTGAGAAGGATCTGAGAAATCATTAGTCTTGGTTTATTTGGACTCAATTCTGTAAATTTTTAAGACATTACAGAATGTTGAAGTTACAACATGACTGGGATTCAAGTGATTCTATGCAATTTGAGGTGTTTTGACCAAAATGTAGGTGCTATTGGTTGTAATAAATAAATAAATACATTTTTTAAAATGAGAAAATTAGTGACAGTTACTTAGATGTTGCCAAAACCTCAAGATGTTTATCACATCTTGATACCAACATCGATGTCATTACGGCACCCAGACACTCTGAATTTAGACAGAAACCCCACTGAGATTCAGGGGCCAAATTTTTTGCCCCTCCTATTTCACCTGCAGGATTTGGTATGACATATATGCTGACATGCAATTCCATTCATCCATGGCTGCAAGTGTCTGCCTTTTTTCCGTAATAGCTCAGAAGTGAGGCATTCATCTAGACCTAATTCTTTTCTAGTTTTTATCCCAGGACGTTGGAAGCGGCTAGGTAAGTGTTCTTCAGGGGAGAAGTTCTAAACTCTGTTTTCCATAATATGCTTAAATACCAACAAGAGTTGGGCACAACAGGCACTTCTTGAGTGCTCTAGTGACTATACTGTAGTACCATACTCATTTGTTTTCCTCCTCCTGCTGAAGCTGTACAAAGCGGAACTTCCACAGGGGACCAGAATATCCTGCAGCAGATGGATAGGGTGACAACAAAGTGGAGGGAGCTCTGAATTTAAACCTTCTGCAGAATAATGGCACCTGGACTTTGGTGTCGCACAACCTGGGTGCCTTACCCGGGCAGCCAGGTAATTGCCCTGAGCATTTAGGTAAATGGTCAGTTCCTGGCTATCCTTTGACAGGGTTGGTGACCTTCATTCAATCTCAAAGGAGTTCTTCCCAAGAGGAAGACTACACCTCAGTATGTGCAGAATCAGAACCCAAGTGCAAGTGGTTAGGAATCAGGCAATACAGTAAAACTCCCATTGATGAAGTTTTGTAACTAGATAATTGATCTTTTATGAATGACTGCAAAAGAAGTCTCCCTTTTCTTTTGCCCCTAGCCCTTCTTTCGTTCACGAGAGCCTTATTACTAAGCTGTAGAGAAGACTTGTTCCTTTTAGCTCCTTAGAATTACCCAGCAAGAACTTTAGCAAGGGATACTTAAAAATGCAAATTACATTAATTTTATGTAGTGAATTTGGCAAATACAAAAATTAACTGGTTCTTCCAGCAACAGCTCAAGAATAGTATTTAGCTGTGAAGTTACCTATGGCTTCTTGTTCTGTGTTGCATCTTTTTCTTACACAGTTTTTGTTCACAATATAATCCAAAGCCTGTTAAATTTATTGGGAACCATGTTGTTGCTTCTGTTGCTCAACTGGAGAGTTTTTCTCATGGTGCTTTAAAAGCTCTGCAGAAATACAGGCAGGAAAGTTTCAGTCTGAGAAGACTGCTTGACATAAATTAATTATTGAACACACATTAATATTCATAAGGGACCCAATTATCTGGGAAAGTCATAGTGATCTTATTTGCTGATTAGCAAAGAAAACACTGACATGATATTTTTCTTAAGTTCACCTTGTTGACTAAGATTTGTGTCAATGAGCAAGGTTAAGATGGAATAAGAGGGTAATCACACTGGTGAGATGATAACTGCTGAAGCAAAAGTGATAGAAATGCAACTGAGTGATTTTTCAGCAGGTAAGAATCAGAGTCATAAGATAATTTAGTTTGGAAGGACCTCTGGAGGTAGGTTAGTCCAACTCCCCCATCAAAGCTGGGCCAAATTCAAAGCTACATTCCTCAGGGCCTGCAGGGGACACTGCAGTGTTAACAAAACATGAAACGGGCAATGCTTGAGCAAAGGAGGTAGATATAATTAGGTATAAAAGCCATACTTAAGGGTGGTTCTTTGGAGTTTCATCCAGGGAAATATGTTTTTTGAAGTCATCAAGCTGTCCTGTTTGGCCAGGCAGAGTTAAATGTAAGTGAGATAAAAGGCTGAAACCTTATCTAAAATGAGTGCTTTAATTCCAGTCATAAGGGAAGGTCTCTCAGTTTTTGCTAAAATAAACCTCAGACTTCCCAGAAGAATGACGGTGATTCAGGACAGCCAGGAATGTAGTAACTAGCAGCTGGGCCTTATCTAACAATTTAATTGAATAGTCAGCATCCCCAAAATCCAAAACTCTGGATCACTTAATGAAGGGCCACTGCAGAAGTGGTTTGCAGGAGACTCCTGCCACAGGTCTCCAGGGATGAGAAGAGAGCTTCACAGCACAAATGTGTGTTGAACAGGGTGACCAGATCGATAGGACTACCAGGGAAGAGGGGAACTCTGGAAAGCAGACACGGTCTCCATAGGAGTATAGTGAATGCTTCATCTTTTATTCCCAAATACGGGTATACTTATAGTACAAGCAGGGTTCATGCGGCACAAGCAATAATTTCATCGGTGTTAACACACTGTCCACGCGCTTCTCCTCAGACAGTGACGGCACCTGCAATACTTTTCATTGGTTTAAGCTTTACTGTCCACACGCTTATTCTCAAGTAGTGATTGGATATATAAAACAAAGCACACAGCTATCTTAGTTTCTACTTGCGGTCAGCACATTTTTGCCTTAGCTCATAGCTTCTTGCTTGTTTCAGTGTACCAAGGACACGCTGTTTACAAACCCTGGATTGTCCACAGATTCCCATAATACTTTGTGGCCCTGTTGTTCAAGAAACCCCTCTACAATTCCCCCTTTTTTCTTTTTGGACAATCCAGAGTTGTTGTACCTTATTACCTTTCCAGGGGACCTGCTTAGAATCCTTCGGTCCGGGGATCAGAGGCTCTCCCCGAGAATTCCTCAGTGCCTGCTGGAGATCCCATGATCCTGCGGATCTGTCGAGATTCACAAGCGGTGTTCCATCTGGGGTGCCACCTTTTTCTTTTTGGACAATCCAGACCTGTTCTATTAAGCATGACATTACTTTCTTAGCACATGACAACAAGCAGCCAAACACTATGCAAACTACTAGAATTATTACTACAAGGGTCAAACCTTTTTCAACCAACACTCGCAGCCATCCCGATATACCAAACTGGCTGAACCAGTCCCCAAGAGGGTCCTCTGATTCTTTCAAGTTATGCAAATTATTTTTCAGCTCAGCTAATTTCTTGTGGATGGATTCAGAGTGGTCAGACAAATTCATACAGCACATTCCTTCGAATTCTTCACATCCATGCCCTTGTGCAAGCAGCAAAAAATCAATAGCAGCTCGATTCTGAAGCACAGCACGATTAACGCTAGCTACATCCTGTGATAGCTCATTTAAATTTGGCTAGTGGTGTTTAGCTCATCCCTAACCCAACATGCTAACTGTTTCAAAGAGGTCATGGCTCTGCTTGCAGTAGCCGCTGGGATAAAGAGGGAAGTGAACACTGTACGGGTTGTTGACCAAAACTTGGGTTTTCCATCATTGTTGCACACTAATTCATGGTTTTCTCTCTTTGATCTATAACCAATGTTACTCATTGACCACTGCATAAGATTTATCAAACTGGGTTGAAATAGAGCCAATTTTCCCAGGTAACACGGTCCCCCGTGCGGACTTTTAGGGATTCCATTCCAGGCCCGGTCACCGCATATTAAAAATATGCCCGGCGGCAATTTCCATGCCGGCTGTCCGGTCTGGTTGAGCTTTGAGTAAAGAGCCGTGTAAACATCCCCAGGACGGAGGGTGGAGTCCACGGTTGCCCAGTTCTTACGGTCAGTATTGAGGTCTAGTACTGAGGGCGACTCAAAACTAAACCACCCAGCTTGTTTCCCAACAGACGAGGCATTAAGACACCCCAGTAGGTCTAGCTCTTCTGGAGGGGACGTCAGAGTAACATTCAAGTTCTCCACAATTTTTGCTTGCCATTCTCCATCCCGCTGTTGTGGGTTTAGCCCTGGGGCTGTCAGGGTCGCATTAGCTATGGTAAAATTCAATACAGACTTATTTCCAACATAACCCCAGAACTCCTCTGGTCTCCACACAGGGGTTCCTATTAGACATGTACGAAATGGATCCCCTGGGGTGGCCAAACTTACACACATGATGCTCTGGCCTGTAATATTGGCTAACATGACCCAGATGTTAGATCTTGGTGAAATCCTTGTTATTAGCCCATCTACTGCTACTTCCCCCAGGATTTGTACCCTCAAACAGATTAGCCATGCCAATTTCCATGTCATCCTGTTCATTCTGGTCTTTTTTCTTTCTCAGGTTATGGTCGTTAGGTGTCCGTACCACAGGCTGTGTCCACTTGCTTGGCACCCAGAGAGGTCTGGAACCTGTCAAGACACAAGTATAGCCTCAACCATTGAAGAGCATTGTACCTGGCCCTGTCCACACTCCTGCTTTTGGGTCTTTGTACATTAGCTTGATACTGGATTCACTCATCTTAGTTTCTTTCCCATAATGTAACTTAGCAGGAGGTACCTCTTGTTGTCCTGACACGCTCAAAAAATTTGAAGTAAAGAGCACCTTGTGAAGGCGGATGAGGGGATCCACCTCCGTGTCTAATTTCTGCTTGGCTAGAGTCTCTTTAATGGTGCGATTGGCCCTTTGCACTGTAGCCTGCCCTGTAGACACATGAGGAATGCCAGTAATATGCTTAACACCCCACTGTTGTAAGTATCGGTTCACCTTCTGACCCACATAGGCAGGCCCGTTGTCAGTCTTTATGATCTGTGGGACCCCCAGAACCGCAAAGCAGGCAGAGAGGTGCCGAATCACATGGACCGCTTTCTCTCCTGCTTGTGCAGTAGCCCATATCATATGTGAGAAGGTATCTATTGTAACATGTACATATTTCAATCTTCCAAATTCTCCTACATGTGTTACATCCATCTGCCATACTTCGCATGCTGCCAAACCCCTAGGATTTACCCCCAGACCCAGTGACCCACTGTGTTTGCTGCATTGGTCACAGGCCTTTACTATCCCTTGGGCGTCCGACCAAGAGAGCCGGAATTGCCTCTTTAATGCTTTGGCAGACTGATGGAACATTCCATGACTCTGTCGAGCCATGGCAAATGAATCTACAGGGGCCTGTACAGACAAAGTAACTAGGGCATCTGCCCTTGCGTTCCCTTCCCCAAGGCCCAAATTAGTTTTGTGACTTCTGATATGAATGATACAACATGGAAATGACCGTTCTTGTAGAGTTTTTTGTAACTGCAAAAATAACTGTCCCAACAGTTCTCTTTTTGGTGGTCGAACCACCGCATCCTCAATTCTCTGTACAACCCCTACCACATATAAGGAATCTGAGACCACGTTCAGAGGCTCATTCAACCATTCAGACAGAGCCCACAGAACAGCTTTCAGTTCCAGAGTTTGTAGGGAGTCCTGGCTGGTGCCCTTGATCTTATGATGATGCCACTGATCTTCATTTCTCCACACGCAGACCGCTGATAGGGACTTCCTGCCCGCATCTGTAAAGACAGTCCGGGCCTGCGTGAGGGGTTGGGACACCACTGAGTGCTGCGGTCGCCATTCATTCCCCGCAACAAAACGCAATAGTGGATGATCAGGCGTCATATTGATGATGCGTCCCGGGTATCCTAAAAGGGCAAGCTGCAACTCCTCCGAGTTGGCCAGCATCCATTCTAATGCGTCCCCATTCATCTGGAGACTAATGCATGCTGGCTCCTGGCCGCTGACGTCCTTACACCTCGTCCGGCCTTTTTTGAGCAGTTTACAGATCACTTCTGTTCGTTGCCAAATACTTTTTGGAGCAGTATGAGGGGGAAACAGCCATTCTAAAACTGTACACTGTGGCTGCTCCACCTTGTCTGGCCTTTTCTGAGCAACTTACAAATCACTTCTGTTCGTTGCCAAATACTTTTTAGAGCGGTATGAGGTGGAAACAGCCATTTTAAAACTGTGCACTGTGGCTGCTCCTCCCTCTGTTGTCCTGAAGCCTGCTTGGCACTTAAGGGTAACATATCGACTTCTCCCCCTTTTTCTTTTTGCCAAGCAGGGACTTGTAGCAGCAAAGCAAAAGGCGATTTTTTCAAATTGCAAATAAGTACAGACACAGGGATGTCTGGCAAAGCTCGATCAACCACTGCCGTGGTGATCTTTATACTCAACTGATCAAGGTGTCGCTCATGTGCCGTAGACCACGGCACCAAGGCTGCAGGGTCCGAGCGTGGGACCCTTTTGCGCTGCTCGCCCCGTTTCTTTGTCTGATTACACACCGCAGTTGCATGGTTCTCTTTTTGGCAGTGGTCGCACCACACAGTGGCGGTACAGGTTTTACTATAATGTCCATGACCACCACACCGATAGCAAACCACCGGAGAACTCTTTTGGTCCTTGCTCTTTTGCCGTACCCTTATTTTTTGTACAGAGGCTGGGGCAGGAGTGGAATCAGGGACTGCGTTTAAGGCTTGCCGGGCCAAACTAGCCGACAGCTGGAACAACGGAAGCGGATACCGCAGTTGCCAGTTTATATCGGCAAACCGGCCTTGCCCCGTTATCATCTCAGTGGTTACACCATTGAGCAAGTCTGCAGGATCTCGGGGTCGCATAGTTTCCATCTGTGCCAATCGTTCCCATTCACGCACCCAGATAATATATTGAGCAGGGGTTAATAACACTCGGGCCAAGTTTTGGCAATCAAATGGGGAATTGGCATCGGCTGTATAAATCCAGTCCAAAACAGCTCGCGCCTGCTCACATTTAATACCATTTTCTTTCACAGCTTTTATAGCCTGTTGCAAAATCTTCCAATCATGTTGCTCATACTGAGGGCTGTTGACCCCCACCACTAACGGACAGGCCATAGTGCTAACAGGATGCCAATCTCCCTCCAGAATAGCGTCTTTGATTACACCCGACCAGCGGGTCACAGCATGAGTTGCAGCTGACACAGGAGGGGTTGGGCTGTAGGTTTCCAACAGGAGTCGCCGGATGGAATTGTGTGGGACTCCTGGTGAGCTATCGTTTTTAGCAAACCACTCGGCAGTTGCCCCCGCATTATTGTCTAATTTCTGGAGTACCTCTGTCATCTGATGAGTCAACTTTTTCAATTCTGCTCTTTCTTCCTCTATAATGGAGCAGGTTGATAAGTCCTCATCGTCATCAGCAGGGAGCAGCACTGCTTGAGCTGGTAAAGCTGGGGCGGAGGACTGTGGCGGTTCCACTGGAGCGGAGCTGGGCTGGCAGCTGGGATCCCTTGTCACGGCCTCGGTTGTGATTTTTGCTTCCTCAATTTTGGGCAGGGGGGGTGATGGCTCCACAGTGGGTACTGCAGCGGCACCCGCCCGCTCTGCGATGGGACTGCCCTGCTGGGCGGGG